CAGACTGACCTTGAACTTCTGATTTCCCTCTGTTCTTCTTCTTTGAGAACGGGTCTCTACATAGCCCTGACTGTTCTGGTGGACCAGGTTGGCCTGGAACTCCCAGACATCTGCCAGCCTCCCTCCCGAGTGTTCGAAGCACAGGTCTAGGACCACAATTACAAAGTGCTTGGGATTGAAGCCGGGCGGTGGTGGCGCACGCCTTTAATCCCAGTACTCGGGAGGCAGAGCCAGGCGGATCTCTGTGAGTTCGAGGCCAGCCTGGTCCCCAAAGTGAGTTCCAGGAAAGGCGCAAAGCTACACAGAGAAACCCTGTCTCGAAAAACCAAAAAAAAAAAAAAAAAAAAAAAAAACAAAGTGCTTGGGATTGAACCCAGGGCATTGTGCATGCTGGGCAAACTGTACCAACCCAGTTATAGCCCAACCTGACCTCAATCGTTTGGTCTATTTGGAGACAAGGTCTCAAGTAGCTCAGGGCGTACTTAATTAAATTCACTTTGTAGCCAGGGATGACCTTGAAGTCCTGATCCTCCTGCCTCCATCTCCTTAGTATTGGGACAATACACTATTGTGATCAGCCTGACTTTTTTTTTTAATCAAGGTCTCACTATGTGGCATAGTTGGGTTGGGCCCAAACAGTGGTAATCCTGCCTCAGACTCCCAAGTAATGAGATTACAGGTGTATATCCCCACACCAGGCTCGGCTTCAATCCTTTCTCTTCATGGTTGAAAATATTTTTCAACGTGTGTGTGTGTGTGTGTGTGTGTGTGTGTGTGTGTGTGTGTGTGTCTGTGTATGCACAAAAGCCAGAAAAAGGTATCTGACCCTCAATGCTGTAGTCACAGACAATTCAGACTCCAGCTCTGGTCCTCAGGACCACAAGACAAGCTCAAAACTTCGAAGTCCTCAATCCTGCTGCTCTTCTTGGCTGTTCTGAAACAAAGTCTCACTCTTTAACTCATGCTAGCCTTGAACTCACTATGCAGCCCAGGTTGGCTGAACCCACCAAATTCTTGGTGATTCTCCTGCCTCGGCTTCCTAAGTGTCGGCACCACAGACAGGAACTACCAAGCCTGGCCTCAGTCTTTATTTAACCTTGAGTGCTAATCAAGTTTTCAACCTCAAGCTGCTTTGGCCTCCTTACCTGACTCTGACCATCCAGGGGACCCCAGAGGAATGAATGTCTCCACCATAGAGGGGACCCCAGGGGAACCCTGTCTCCACCATAGAGGGGACCCCAGGGGAATCCTGTCTCCACCATAGAGGGGACTCAATGATGGTATCTCTGCTGTAGGCACAGGCCCTGGGCTACTCAGATGCTCTAAGTCATTCCACTCAATCCCGCCTTGACCCTTGACCCTTAACCCAGCCCTAAATCTACCACTGTTTACCCAGAAACTCTCACCTGATCAGCACAAGAGACACCGGCGTCGAAGTATGGAGTCTTCATTGTGCTGTGCTCCGAGGCCCCCAGTGTGAAGAGTTGGGAGGGCTGTGGCGTGACATAAGGGTAAGTCAGGACCCCTCACAGTGGCCTTTCCCAACCAGCCCTGTTCCAGCCCAACAGCCCCTTTCTGGGATGGACCCCAGGGAGGAAAAGTGGGAAGGGAGGCAGGGTAGCTTGGGCTCCAGAAGAACATCTCACCATCTCTGGTTCCTCCAACTTGGCCTTGGGGGTCGGTGGCTTATAAGAGGGAGGTCCTTCCAGTCTGCAGGGTCAGGGGTAGGAGTCAGATCAAGGGAGGTTAGCGCGCAACCCCCTCTCCACCTCAGTTTCTTCTCTTTACAGGCAGTCTGGCCACTGGCTGGATCAGTGTCAAAATGCTGTTTTTTTCCTGTGGTTTTCGGCACCATCCCTGCCCCCATCCCAGTGCTCCTCGGGAGTCAAACTGAGTGAGACTCAGTCCTGGCATCCCAGACCCCTCTGGGAAGAATTCTCCTTCAAAGAAGTGAACCAGGGGTGTGGTACACACCGGTAATCCCAGCACTAAGGAGGGACTCTGAGTTTAAGGCCAGCTCTGTCTACATGATAAGTTCCAGGCCAACGAGTGCCACACAGTGGGACCCTGTTTCAAAAACAAACCAAGGTACCTGGAGCCTGGGGAATGCCACTCAAGGCTGTCCTCTGCTCTCTCTACGTACAAACATGTTCAGTAACAGATACTTGATTGAGTACACCCACACACGGAGGTAAGAAACATGATGGGGCTGCTAAGACTGTTTACTGAGTGAAGGGACTTGTCACCAAACCTCATGACTTGACACCCAGATGGCGGAAATAGAGACCCTTTGACCTCTAGGTAGCATTCACACACACACACACACACACACACACACACACACACACACGGGCTCAAGGTAACCATGGGCTAAACTTCTAAAAGGGGGCTGTCGAGATGCTCAGTGGGCAAGAGCACTGGCTGTTCCTCCAAAGGACCTGTGTTGAGACCCTAGCACCCACATTAGGGATTCACAACAGCCTATAATGCAAGCTCTCAGATTCAAGGTCTTCTGGCCTCTGAGGGCACACACACACACACAGACAGTCACATAGACACACACATACACAGAGACAGACAGACACACACACACACACACAAAGAAGAAAATCTTTTTTTTTTTTGTTTCTCTCTTTTTTTTTTTTTTTTAAGATTTATTTATTTATTATGTACACAGTGTTCTTCCTCCATTATGCCTGTATGCCAGAAGAGGGCACCAGATCTCATTCTAGATGGTTGTGAGCCACCATGTGGTAGCTGGGAATTGACTCACGACCTCTGGAAGAGCAGCCAGTGCTCTTAACCTCTGAGCCATCTCTCCAGCCCTTCTTTTTTTTGTTTTCAAGACAACATTTCTCTATGTATCCCTCCTGTCTTGGGACTTGCTCTGTAGACCAGGCTGGCCTTGAACTCAGAGATCTACCTGCCTCTGCCTCCTGAGTGCTGGGATTAAAGGCATTCGCCACCACCATCCAACTAAGTAAATAAATCTTAAAAACAAAACAAAGCAACAATAAACAAGGCAAGCACATTGGCTCAGCAGATAAAGGTCTTGAAAACCTGAATTTAGGATGTGCAGTGGTGGCACACACCTTTAATCCCAGCACTCAGGAAAAGAGGAAGAGACAGAGGGATCTCTGAGTTCGATGCCAGCCTGGTCTACAGAGCAAATTGCAGGACAGCCCAGGCTAAATGGAGAAACTCTGTCTCGAAAAACAGACAAACAAAAACAAAAAAGGACCTCTGGCCTCCACACCCAGGCCAAGGCCAAGGAATGTATGTCCATGTGCACAAACACGCAATAATACCAATTTTATAAAATGTAAACAATGAGCCAGGCATGGAGCTGCACTCCTTTACTCCCAGAACTTAGAAGGCAGAGGTAGGAGGATCTCTGCAAGCTTGAGGTCAGTCTGGTCCATAGTGTAGGACCCTATCTCAAGGAAAAATGAAGGTCTGCAGAGGTGGCTCCTGAAGAGCACTTGTTGCTTTTTCAAAGGACCCAGGTTCAATTCCTGAGACCCACATGGCAACTCACGACCCTCTAGAGTACCAGGCACACATATAGAGTGCAGACATACATCCAAGCAAACACACAGAGAAAATAAAAATAATTTTTTTTTTTTTTCTAAACAGCCTTGGCTGTCCTGGAACTCTCTCAGTAGACCGGGCTGGCCTTGAACTCAGAAATCTGCTTACCTCTGCCTCCCGAATGCTGGGATTAAATGTGTGCACCACCACCACCTGGTTGATTTATTTATTTATTTATTTTTGGTTTTTCGAGACAGGGTTTCTCTGTGTAGCTTTGTGCCTCTCCTGGAACTCACGTGGTAGCCCAGGCTGGCCTTGAACTCACAGAGATCCGCCTGGCTCTGCCTCCCGAGTGCTGGGATTAAAGGTGTGCGCCACCACGGCCCGGCTTATTTATTTATTTTTAATAAATACTGTAGGGATGGAACTCAAGTTCTTACCACCTGACTCATCTCCCTGGCTCCTGTACAACCTTTTTCCTTTTTTGTATTGCTGGTTTTTGAGACAGTGTCATGTAACAGAGGGGGCATGACCTCGAACTTCTGATCCTCTGGCTTCTACCTTCCAAGTGCTAGGAACCCACACTTAGCAGCTGAAGCTCAGGGGAAGGTGGAGCAACAAGACGGTGGGGGCCTGGGCTCTGATGACATCAGAAGGGACAGCTTCTAATACCCATACTTTCCGAGGAAGAGAAAAATCTTTCCTCACCACCCCATGTAAGAACCCAGTCATGCCGGGCGGTGGTGGCGCACGCCTTTAATCCCAGCACTCGGGAGGCAGAGCCAGGCGGATCTCTGTGAGTTCGAGGCCAGCCTGGGCTACCAAGTGAGTCCCAGGAAAGGCGCAAAGCTGCACAGAGAAACCCTGTCTCGAAAAACCAAAGAAAAAAAAAAAAAAAAAAAAAAAAAAGAACCCAGTCATTTATGGTGGTGTCTCTGTCCCACACTGCCTTTATGATTTTCCTCTTCAGTCCCCACCCAGTGCTCCCCAACTCTGACATCCCTCCTCCCAGCCACCTCTCAGGATCCCATCACTCACTCTTCTTCCTCATCAGTCCCCTGAAGCCTCTGCTCCTTCTGCTGTTGTCGGCAGATGAGGATGCCTGTGGCAGCCACTGCAGTGGCAATGATGGTGGCGATGATGCCTCCGATGATGCCGCCTGTGGCCCCTGCTCCCGCTGTGCTGGGTGACTCTGTTAGGACAAAGACAGCACAGGGCTCATTAAGAGGAACTCAGGTCGGGCGGTGTTGGCGCACGCCTTTAATCCAGCACTCAGGAGGCAGAGGCAGGTGGATCTCTGTGAGTTCGAGGCCAGCCTGGGCTACAGAGTGAGTTCTAGGAAAGGCGCAAAGCTACACAGAGAAACTCTGTATCGAAAAACCAAAAAAAAAAAAAAAAAAAAAAGAGGAACTCAGAGCTGCTGCTTTCAGGCCCATTCCTCATATCCCACATATGCCAGACTTTTTAAATGATTGTTTAGAGACAGAGTCTCTCTGTGTAGCCTAGGCTGGCTGGAACTCTCTGTGTAGCCCAGGCTGAACCCACGCTTCTGCCTTCTTTCCTTGTTTCCTTTGGCTATACAGGAAACTAAATGCAGGGCCTCAAGCATGCTAGGCAAGCGCTCTGTTTCTGAGCACATCCTCTGCCTGTCCACTCAACCAACTGCGCCTGCGCTCCTAATTCAGGAACATCTGATCTGTGTCGAAGGGAAGAGATCTGCAAGTGAACTAAATGCACAAAGCCCCCATCCTCATGCTCTTAGGGTAGCCCAGGCTGGCCTTGGCCAATAGCAAACGAGCAGATGCCATCTAAGGTCAAGCTGGAACTGGACTCACTACAGAGTGGGAAGGGGAACAAGGATGTGACAGAATGCCGGACCCCCAAAGCCAGGCAAACAGGGCTTATCTGTGAAGGGGGATTTTGAGTCCTCTGGGTGTACTGCAGAGAAACAGCCAGTGCAAAGATCCTGGGACAGCCTCGGGATGTTTTTAAGGAACAAGGAGAGCCAGTTGTGACAGTTTAGGGGCACCTATAATTCCAGCACTCAAGAGGCTGAAGCAGGAGGATTGCTGAGAGTATGAATCCAGTCTAGGCTACAATAGTGAGTTCCAGGACAGTCAGAGCCACATAGCCAAGACTGTCTCAAACAAAACAACCTCCACACACAAGGGAGAAGCAGTACGAAGAGGTTCCAGTCCAACCTTGGCAGCGAGCATTTGAAGACTGTCTCGTAAAAAACAAAAGACAAACAGGAAGAGCAAGGAGACTGTGGCATTGGGACTGAGTGAAGAGGAGACAGGAAGGATGTGGAGGCTGTGGTGTCAGGGGCAGGGCCTCTCATTATTACGGGCCCGTCGGCGTGTTTTCTGGCCCATCAGGAGAGCTCACACGACTTCCCATTCCCAATTGTTCAGGGTGCTCCTCTTAGCTAACAGCGGAGTTCCTGGAGCAAGGGCCCGTTTCCTCACTAGATCCGTAGCCCTGGGCCGGACACGTAGCTGTCAGGGAAGAGGGGATCTGTGTGCAAGCAGAAGTCAAGCAGATTGCCTGCCCTGCCCTCCGTGACGGAGAACATGGTGCCCCCCAAGCCCCCAATGAACGCCCAGGACAGACAAGGATGCAAAACTCTAGAGGTGTCACTGGTGTAGTTAGTTAATGTGCTTCCCAAACTTGGAGAGGAAGTGATCCAGTTCGCATCCGCTCTCCTGCTGGGCATCCTCCAAAGGTTCCAGTGTGTGTGCTGGGGCGGGGTTAGGGGTGAACTAGCTTGAGTGCACCACACAAGGCCATCTCAAACACTCAGTCCTTCCTGTCATTGTTGCTGGCTGGCTGGCCACATTCCCACAGGACAGGGCTCTGTGATCTGGGCCACTTTTGTGTCCCCAGCATGGGGGACACAGGCTTGGCATTCTGGGATCTATGACTACTGGTTGAGGAAGTGCATGTATCCAGGCTACTCCACCCACCCGAAAGGTGTCATCTGATCCTAGTGTCCCAAGAGGCCACAGACGTGGGGGGATAAGCTCACCTCCTTCTCCCAGGGGCAGATGCTTTGTGACCCTTGGAGTCAGATCGCTAGCTGGAGGAGTATGTGTGTCTGTATATGTATGTTGTGTGTGTGTGTGTGTGTGTGTGTTGTATATCTGTGCTGTGTATGTGGTGTGAGTGTGGTGAGGCCTCTCAGAATTCCTGGTAACTCCCACAGGACCAAATCTTGCTAGGAGAGTGGGAGACAGCCACCCAGGACAGGCCACTTTGAGGACATCAAGGTGGGACCATATGGGTACTGCCATCACCTGGCACCTACGTCTCTAGCCTCAAGGTCCTCAAATACAGAGAGAAGCAGCTTCCTATCCCTAGGACCCTCCACAACAGAGAAAGGAGACCTGTGTGGGACCCCCACCCCCCATCATTAGAACTCAGGATCAAGGTAGCTAGCCTTTCTCTTCCTGAGGAAATGCAGCTCTGAAGTCAGTTTGCTTACCCACCTGTCCTGGGATCCACGAGTTCAAGCCCCCTTCCCCACACTCATGTCTCAGAGCCTCTAAGTCAGGAAACCATTCTAAGTCCTAGCAGCTTCAGGGGAGCTTGGGCACACGTGGTGTGACATCTTCCAATCTGGGCCCCCACCAAATTTTCTTTCCAAGGCTCGATACTTAGTGGTCTCTGTCCCACCCACTCATTCCCCAGGGCACAAAGAGAGGGGTCTGATGTATCACAAAACACCCCCAAGTTTTTCTGACAAGGCATTTATTAGCTCCTGAGTGTTTCGGGGCCAGGGCCAGGCTGGGGCCGAAAGCAAGCTCTGAGGAGTCCTGAGTGTGCACCATGGCGCTCTTGGGGTTCGTGAGGGCCTGGAGATAGTCTGGTGTGTGTGGCTCCACTTGTCCTCCATTCAGAAACGGGGGAGGTGGCCTTCCAACTCCAGTGTGCCCCAGAAGAACCAGTCCAACCGGTCCCTAGCCATCCCCTTGCTGGCTGGCGTTGGTGTGGTTGGCAGTGGGGGTGGGAATTGGCTTCTCTGTGTCCAGTGTCTACATCGTGGGGTCACACGTAAACTGCCCGCCGAGAAATGAGGGAGCCATCGAGATGAGATTCCATGTCATCCTTAGGTGACTCGTGTGGAGGTAGCATGAGGCCTTCCTCTGCCTTCGCCTCTTCTTCCTCCTCCTCTTCCTCTTCCCTGCCATCCGGCCTCATGGGCTCGGGGGATGCTGACCTCCAGAAGACAGGACCCCCGTTCCCAAACACCTGAGTCTTTGGATCATAGGATCCTCTGTCGCCATCATTTCCGCCTCCAGGGCTCTTCCGCCTCCTCCTCCCCCTCAGCAGGATGAAGGCCAGGAACCCCCCAGCCAGAAGTAGCACCAGCAGTGTTCCCCCCACGGCCCCCCACACCAGCGGACCCACATCTCGAGAGGCCTGGGGGGTGTCTGAGGAGAAAGGAAGGAGAGAGAAAAAGAAAAGGAGAGGGAGTCAAGCGGACACATCTGAGGGAGGGATGGGGGAGACCCAGGGCACGGGTTAGTGACCAGAACTTAGGAGGTGACGGCTTGGGAGAAGGGAGGAGGAAGGCAAGGAGGAAGAGGAAGGGGAGCGCGTGACCCTTCACCTCAGGGTGGGCACAGGAGAGGCTGTCAGCTGATGCTGCCTAGATAACTATCTACACCAACGAGGCTCTCAGACCTGAGGACTGCAGCAAGGGGTGGTGGCACATGACTGCCATCCTAGCCCTTGTGAGAGGGAGGCAAGAGGACCATGCCACCCAGGCCCAGTGAGACCCTATCTCAAAAATGCTGAGAAGGGGGAAGTGTCGGTGGGCCGAGGATACTGGTCAGCAGTAGAATGTTTACCTACAGTCCCCAAGGGAGGGGCTGGGGGTGTGGCTCAGTGGTAGAGCCCCTGCCTAGAATCCCCCAGTGAGGGGCTGGGGGTGTGGCTCAGTGGTAGAGCCCCTGCCTAGAATCCCCCAGTGAGGGGCTGGGGTGTGGCTCAGTGGTAGAGCCCCTGCCTAGAATCCCCCATTGAGGGGCTGGGGTGTGGCTCAGTGGTAGAGCCCCTGCCTAGAATCCCCCAGTGAGGGGCTGGGGTGTGGCTCAGTGGTAGAGCCCCTGCCTAGAATTCCCAGAGAGGGGCTGGGGTGTGGCTCAGTGGTAGAACATTTGTTTGCTTAGCATGTTCAAGGCCCTGTATTCCATCTCCAGTGTTATACCAAACACCCAGAATTAAACCCACTTCTGTGACCTGCAATTACATCTACTGGGGAAGCTCAGGTAAATCCCACATTTGAGGCTACTCTGTCTCCACCTCTCCCTCAAAACAACAGAAGACAATAAAGCCAATAACATGTAGCCCCTTGTATGCAGAGGTGCAGAATGAGAGGAAGGTGTATGGAAAGACCCTCTGTTCCCTCCCACTTAGGCCAGAATGTGGGGGTGGGAGGAAGTAGTGGGAGGCACTGATCATACCTGTCTATCCGCTTGGCTTGGGAGGTCTCAAATCACCTCCCCCATCTCACACAGCTCTTCCTAATGTTCCCTGTGTCCTTCCTGGCTGTCTCATGCTCACCTCCACAGCCCCCTCCCCACCTGTGGGGAGACCAACAGCAGGGGATTGGAAGCCTCGCCGCCCACCCGCGTGACTCCTGCAGTACAAGAGTCCTGTGGGCTCTCATAATGGCTCTCAGCCCACTAAAGGAGATAAAAATGGGTGCCTGGAGGCTCCAGACCAGCGAGCCTGCTAGTGGCCAGGTGTGAAAACTGCTTGGCCTCAGGTAACCAGTTAGCATTCCCTGACACCTGCTCGCTGGTGGACCTATGGTCTGTGTTGGCCAGACTAGATTTTTCTGCTAACACTTTCAATTTTCTTTCACAGTACTGGGAACGGAACACTCTTGTTCATGCTGAAAAGGTGCTCTACCACTGAGTCACACCCCAGCCCCTCACTGGGGGATTCTAGGCAGGGGCTCTACCACTGAGCCACACCCCAGCCCCTCACTGGGGGATTCTAGGCAGAGGCTCTACCACTGAACCACACCCCAGCCCCTCACTGGGGGAATCTAGGCAGGGCCTCTACCACTGAGCCACACACCCAGCCCTTCACTGGGGGATTCTAGGCAGGGGCTCTACCACTGAGCAACACCCCCAGCCCCTCACTGGGGGAATTCTAGGCAGAGGCTCTACCACTGAGCCACACCCCCAGCCCCTCACTGGGGGATTCTAGGCAGGGACTCTACCACTGAGCCACACCCCCAGCCCCTCACTGGGGGATTCTAGGCAGGGGCTCTACCACTGAGCCACACCCCAGCCCCTCACTGGGGGATTCTAGGCAGGGGCTCTACCACTGAGCCACACCCCAGCCCCTCAATGGGGGATTCCAGGCAGGGTCTCTACCACTGAGCCACACCCCCAGCCCCTCACTGGGGGATTCTAGGCAGGGGCTCTATCACTGAGCCACACCCCCAGCCCTTCACTGGGGGATTCTAGGCAGGGGCTCTACCACTGAGCCACACCCCAGCCCCTCACTGGGGGATTCTAGGCAGGGGCTCTACCACTGAGCCACACCCCAGCCCCTCAATGGGGGATTCTAGGCAGGGGCTCTACCACTGAGCCACACCCCCAGCCCCTCACTGGGGGATTCTAGGCAGGGGCTCTACCTCTTAGCTACTCTCCTAGTTACAGTGTTAGGATTTGGTTTTGGTTTTTGAGAGGATTCTATGTATCTCAAGTCATCCTCAACTTCCTAATCTCTTTATCTCCACCTCTCAAGTGCTGAAATTACAGGGCTGGATCACCACACCCAGTTTCTGAGTAATGTTCTTAAATAGAGTGTCATGCTGGACTGTTACCGCTTGCTTTTGATCCCAACGTGCAGGAAGCAGAGGCAGGCAGATCTCGAGTTCAAGGCCAGCCTGGTCTACATAGTGAGTTCCCCACCACCCAGGGCTACACAGTACGACCCTGCCTCAAAACAAAAACCAAAATCGAGTAAACAAAATAATAAAAACATACACAAAAAGTAATAGTTTGGGGAGCTGTTTGCAAGTTCTATGCAAAGAGGACATTATTCTATATAAGGACCCATACCTGCAGGGGTGGGTGAGTGGGGAGTGGTCTCTGAAAGGAGACTGACAGTACGTCTGTCCTTAAGCACTGCACAGACGCAGGAATGCCCCTCTGCACACTGGTCAGTGAGTCCCTCAGTCTCCATCCCTGGAAATGTGGGTGCACCCAGGGAGTGCCAGAGGAACTGTGGAGCGTGGGCAGGATCTCCTCCTTTGTATGTGAGTCCAAGATTGCGAGTTGTCTGCAGACAGGCCTGCCTTGTGGCACAGTGTGTCCCCTTGTGTTTTCATTGTTGCCAATCCAAACCACGCCCTAGTGAGACTGGATGTGTGGGAGCATGGGGATGTGCCTGGGAGCGAGCCTTTGAGTCAGTACCTCGGAGAGCAGCTGGACCTCTCCAACTAGTGCCGAACGGATTTATTTCCTTTCTTTCTTCCTCTTTTGTAAAGATATGGCTGGCTTGGAACCTGCGCTGTTGACCAGGCTGCCCTCAAACTCAAAGAAATCCTCCTGCCTCTGTCTCCCAGGTGCTGTGATTACAGGGCCGCGCCACCACACTCAGCTTGCTTGGTTTTCTGAGACAGGGCCTCAGGCTGCACAGACTGGCTCTAGACTCACTAAGTAGCCAATGCTGGCCTTGAACACCTGACCCTCCTGTCCCTACCTACCTTTCTGAATGCTAGAGTCATAGGTGTGTGCCAACAGGTCTGGCCCAGCCACTGGATTTCTAGGGTGCTCAGTGTGCCTGCGTCTGCAGGTGTAAAAATTGGGGCTTGTCTTTGAGATGATGTCATTACACATGGTGGCGTCATATGGCAGTTTGCTCAGAAAATAAAGGCTCAAAGGTTACAGGAAGTCCCCGACAGTGATGGACACAGGGCTGCTCTGCTCCCTCTCGAAGCGTGTATACATAAGAGGGAAGGAAGGCCGAGAGCCTCTCAGGCCTGAGCTGCCCGGGTGAGATGGAGACACACAAGCTGAGCTGCCCGCAGGCTGGGCTGTGTGCTCCAGGCTCCCAGCTCTGGGAGCTGTCACTCAAGCTGAGGTGGGCTTTGGGGATGCAGCCATCTTGTGTCATTTCTGCTTCTGTAAGTGACCTCAGTACATACAACTCATGGGTTCACCAAGATGGACTGTGGTGCTATCCACACACTGACCTGTCACCGATTCCCTATGTGGGATGAGTAGACACTTGATCCTATCTTCCCAGGAATAGTGTCCCGCAACAGGGTGGACCTGTGACTACCTTTATGGGAGTCAAGGCGGACTTTTTTATACTGCAATTTTTCTTGGGTTCTCTCTCTCTTTTTTTTTCTTTTTGGTTTTTTGAGACAAGGTTTCTCTGTGTAGCTTTGCGCCTTTCCTGGAACTCACTCTGTAGCCCAGGCTGGCCTCGAACTCACAGAGATCCACCTGCCTCTGCCTCCCGAGTGCTGGGATTAAAGGTGTGTGCCACCACCACCCGGCTAGGGTTCTCTCAAAGATTTTATTTTTAACTCTGTGTGTGTGTGTGTGTGTGTGTGTGTGTGTGTGTGTGTGTGTACACGCATGAACATGTGAGTGTAAGTGCCCAATGGAGTCAGAGGCATCAGATCTCCCTGTAGCTGGAGTTAAGAGGCAATTGTTAGCCACCCAGTGTGGTTGCTGTGAACCCAACAGAGGGTCTCCGCAAGAGCAAGCCACGCTTGACCACTGAGCCATCTCTCCAGCCCACCAACGATTTTCTCCACACTCGGGGTTTAAGAGTATCCGACTGTACAGTGGACTATTTATTAAGCAAGGCCCCGACTAAGTAAGCCAGGCACAGCAGTGCATACCCTCACCTCAGCACTGTGGATGCAGAGAATGGACGATTCAGAGTCAGATAGCCTGGGCTACATACCAACCCTGTCTCAAAACATGAGAAAGGAACATACATACACACTGGTTCCCATCTCTGCCATGTGATACCTGCTGTCTTTGCGTGCATAAGCAAGAAGGCTGTGACTAGATGGGACCGTAGGAGCTGCACCCCCAGGTCCCTAAGCTGAGAGAAACCTCTTTTTATAAAGAAGACTGCTTCAAGCAGATCTCTGTGAGTTGAAGGCCAGCCTGGTCTACAAAGCATGTTCCAGGACAGCCAGGGCTACACAGAGAAACCCTGTCTGAAAATAACAAAACAAAACAAAACAAACAAAAAAACCCTTGTGGTCAAGAGGAAACCTCAATATGAATTGCTTAGCAGAAACTCTGTAATGGAGTTTCTGGATGCAGAGGTGTCTTCTGGAACGTTCTTCAGATATGTGAGGAAGGGTTATTCTGTATGTGAACTGTGGCACCATTTGACAGTGTTTTCCTCCGAGGACATGTCCCAAGGGTTCAGAGCTGATGAGCAAGGCAAGTTGGTGTTCCTACAGGCAAGTCAGCTTGCTTTTGGGTGTCAGAGCAAAGCTGTGTGTGTCTCAGCAAGGGTGTGTTCTCAAGAAGGGTGTGCCCAGTTACATCACAGGGCCAGGCTATGTCTTTTACTCTCTCTCTAAGTGATTTGTTGTATTTCTGAGGGGTTCAGGTCCTGCCTGGTAGGGTCATTATTTCAGATTCATGTCTCTGCATAGGCAAACTGTGTGTGGTACCTACCATGGTACTTCTAAGTCTTCTTTTTTTTGTTTCAATACTGAGGATCAAACTTAAGGTTTCCAACATGCTAGTCAAGTTGAACCATGCCCCCAGCCCCTCACTGAGAGATAGGCAAGGGTTGTACCACTGAGCCACACCCCCACCCCCCCACTGGGGGATTCTAGGCAGGGGCTCTACCACTGAGCCATACCCCAGCCCCTCACTGGGGGATTCTAGGCATGGGCTCTACCACTGACCCACTTTCCTAGGCCTTTTCTTGTATTTTATTTTATGATTTATTTTATTTTATAAGATTATGGTTTTGTTCTGTAGCTCAGGCTAGCTTAGAACCACTCTGTGGTCCATGTAGGCTCTGAACTTGTCATTCTCCTGCCTCACCCCCAACCAGGTCTGGCTAAGGGTGTTTCTAAGAACAGTTCTCTCCTGGCTCCTGTGGCGTGTCATAGGCCCTAACCAGTGTCACTCTTTCTTGGGGCGTGTCTCAGTGACAACGGTTCTGATGATATAAGGTCACGTCTGGGTGACTGGACTTCCTGGTTTCAAGAGAATTCCCAGCCTTGGGTTCATCTCCAGCTTGTGGGTCTTGCTGTGGTCCTCATGACTGAGCAAGCTATTTCTTGCTCTGTGTGGGTCTGTACATCAGCAGCTACAAGAACCAGGTACACTAACACTAACATGGTCTTGTCCGCTCCCAGGGACAAAGTTCTACATCTGTCCCTAGGCTCTGCCCCCACCACAGACTTGAGCCTGCCTGCTGATTCTCTTTTCCCACTGAACTTTGGGGCTTGCTTGCTTTGAAACAGGCTACCCTCACAGTAATCCTCCTGCCTCAGTCTCTTGAGTAAATGCTGGAGCTATTAGATATACATCATGCCCAGCTTAGACGTTGGCTTTTAAGATACCTCAGTGCAGACTTCCACTCTGTGATTCTCTGCCAGCTCTCCTCTCTGGTCACCCCCCAGTTATAGCCTGTGGTCCCATCCTACACTCACAGGTCAGGATGGAGAAGCTGAACTACCCACTCATCTGTGCAGAGAGAGGCGGGTCTAACTCCCTCTCATCCTAGGGCAGCATCAGTGACACCCCAAAGTGGACCCAAGCCCCAAAGGGAGAAACCACAGGGCCTTATATTCAAAGGCCAAGACCTCCTTACCTCGGACCAGGATGAGCTGCTCAGCACGGCCCGTCCCCACAGCATTGGTGGCTGTGCAGATGAAGGTGGTGTTGACCAATCGATCCACAGAATGGACAAGGAGCTGGGAACCCTGGACGACTGCGGAGGCCGGGAAGACGCCCGAGGTCCTAGGGGTGCGGGGTGAGATGAGCAGCCTAGCAGGCACCCAGGGAGAGCAGGCTGCCCCGAGACTAAAACCGTCAGACCCAGGGTTCTAGAGCCCGCCCTCCTCCCTCACACCCAGCCTCCACGCATGTCACTCACGTGCTCCAGTCATAGCCTGTGGGCTCCGGGTTGCTGCGTACGTTACAGGTCAGGATGGCCTCACTGCGGCCGAGGTACCAGTTGTCATCATAGCCAGAGATGGACACTTCGGGAGGATCTGAGAGGAAGGGACAGCTGACTCAGAGACAAAGGGGACTCCAGAACTGGGGACAAGTTGGCACCACAGGTGGCAGGGGACGCATCAGTCCTAACGAGCTGGGGTTAGCAGGCCACGCTGTGTATGCTCTGGAAAGTGTGAACCCTGCAGAGACGGCTCAGTGGTTAGGAGACCAGCTGCTCTTCCAGAGGATCCAGGTTCGATTCCCAGCACCCACATGGCAGCTCACAACTGTCTGTAACTCCAGTTTCAACACCTTTTTTTTTTTTTTTGGTTTTTCGAGACAGGGTTTGTCTGTGTAGCTTTGCGCCTTTCCTGGATCTCACTTGGTAGCCCAGGCTGGCCTCGAACTCACAGAGATCCGCCTGGCTCTGCCTCCCGAGTGCTGGGATTAAAGGCGTGCGCCACCACCGCCCGGCGGGATCCAACACCTTTACACAGACATACATGCAGGCAAAACATGAATGTACATGAAATAAAAATAAATAAATTTTTAAAATTTTAAAAATTTAAAAAATTTTCTTTTTAAGAAAAAAGAAAACAACTACAGGTGTGTGTTTGTGCGCGCACGTGCGTGTGTGTGTTCCCAATCTGACATGCCTAGGGTAGACCACATGGGCGATAGTATATTCAGACAGTTTGGGTCAGCCAGTGTAGACACAAAGGAAGTCAGGGTGGACCGGCTTACACTGAGGGTCCGAGGATGAATATGGCTGGAAGGAGCCACTGCAGACGAGGTAGGGAGACTATCTCATAGTGGAGGGCACAACATTCCACTGGGATCCTGGGTCCGTTGCCACAGTGAGTCGGCAGGGCGGTGAAGATACTACGTTTGAGTGGGATGGTTCATGTATATAATCCTAGCACTGAGGAGGTGGAGGCAGGAGGATCGGGAGGAGTGCAGGGCCATCCTTAGCTACGCAGAGCTCAGGGTTAGCCTTGGGTATGAGGCCTCTCTCAAAAAACCAAAGACTGGAGACACGGCTCAGCACTTCAGAGTGTGTACTGCTCTTAAAGAGAATTCCGTTCCCAGCACCCACATCAGGCAATCACAGCTGCCCGTGACTCCAGCTCCAGGGGCGTCAAACACCTCTCTCTGGCCTACACTCATGTGCACAGGCATAGACACATAGAAAGAATTAGAAATAATAAGTCTTTAAGAAACAAAACAGCCTAGGGTACACCTTTAATCCCAGCACTGGGGAGGCAGAGGCAGGTGGATCTTTGAGTTCAGGGCCAGCCTGGTCTACAGAGTGAGTTCCAGGACAGCCAGGACTATGCAGAGAAACGCTGTCTTGAAAAATCAAAACCAAACCAACCAACCGACCGACCAAAACAAACAAACAAAGCAAAATTGCTGTACAGACTGGTGCATGCTTTTAATCCCAGCACTCAGGAGGCAGAGGCAGGTGTATTTGTCTCTGTGAGTTGGAGGATAGCCTGGTCTACATAGAAAGTTCTGACCCAAAACAAAACAGAACTGCAAAGGGGAGAATTCCAGCTCTTGTGTGGAGTGTGCTGGGGGTGTCTCTCTAGATGAAACTGACGGTTGTTTCTATAGGTAGTTTCTGGAGAAGCTAGCCTAGGACACTTTGGGAAGGCTGGGGAACCCACGGTCCCTAGAGACCAAAGGAAATAACACTGGGGAGCAGCAGTCAGTAGGAGACCCCAGGGGAGGCAATTTAAACGGAGGTGGGGGTGGAAGATGTGGGAGGGTGGGTGTGTGTGCTTGCCTAGCATGCCCAAGGCTTTGTGCTCCACTCCCAGCAGCTCACGGGACCAGGTATAGTGGTCCACATCTATAATGCCAGCATCCAGAAGTGGTGATCCAGGCAGGCTAGCAGCCGTGTGGAGACCAGGGCTTACAGGCACAGGCTGCAGGGTGCAGATGAGCAGGTCATCCTCAGCCGTCTGGGGAGTTTGAGGCTAAACCAAGCTATGTGAAACTCCGTCTCCAAAAGTGAATCAATGAGTGAACAACGTATGCCAACTGTGCTGGGGTGGGCAGCCTGGACTTGGTCCAGGGCAGTTGATGAGGACTGCCACCTAGTGTCCCTGGAAGCCAGAAAAGACATTGGGCTGTGTGTCGGGGAGTGAGGGGTGGGTGCGGATACTGTTTACAGGCAAACCCAGCCTGGGAGGTGGTCACGTGTCACAGTCTTCTGTTTTCTTGTTTGATCTCACACCTCATCGACTGGGAAGAAAGTGAACCTATCGGCTCTCAATGCCTTCTCAGCTTATCCTTCATTCCAGGGCAGGCAGGTAGGCAGGGGCCCACAGAAGCCAGTGTAGGCCTGGTGTGGTGGTGAACACCTTTAATCTCCACGCTTGGGAGACCGGCAGGCAGCGGGAGTTGCAGGCCAGTCTGGTTTACAAAGAAGAGTCCCAGTGTCGATTACGGGGTCTGCACATACACGAGGCCCTCAGAAACTAGTACAGACAGTAGGCAAGGTCTGGCTGGTGTGAACTGATGTACTCAGGGCCAGTATGGACAGCAAGAGTGAGGGGAAAACCACCTCCTGGCACACTCACAGCGCACGGAGAGGGTCACCGGCAGCAGGTGTGGCTCCTCGAAGCTCTCGTGTTCCACTCTGCACGTGACCTTGATGCCATCCGCTTGGCCCACCGGCACCAAGGAGTATCGGCTGATGACAGTGACGGTGCCAGACCACGGTCCCGGCTCCTGAGTATCTCTGGCCTCTCCACCCAGGGGTGAGATCCAGGTGATCCGGGCAGGTGGGCGGCCCCCCGTGGAGACACAACGGGCAACAGGCACGGACTCAGGGCCAAACGTGACCTCCTGGGCTTCAGCATGATTCTCAGGCTGGGCTAGGGAGAGGACAAAGAAGATGTGTGACTCAGGACTTGCATTCACGCAACAAAGATCTGAGCAGTGACCGTGGAGCATGGGGCCACACAGTCAGGCTCTGCTGCCCTGGTTCAGAGCCCAGCTCACCTCCTAGCATGTGCACAGCTTTAGGCAGGCCATTTCCTCTAGTGTCACAGTAACTAAAGTCCCCGCACCATGGGACTGATGTATGGGTCAAAGAACATACCCAGTGCTTAGGATCTGTCTGGCACACATTATCCTGGCCTGTGTAATAGATACATATTTCTTTTGAGACTGGTTCTCACCTAGGCTGACTTGGAACTCCCAGAGATCCACCTGCCTCTGACTGAGCACTGAGATTAAAAGTGTGTACCACCAAGCCTGTGTTGGACATTTTACAATATCCTCACTTCCCCATCAGAAAGATGCACAGGCCAAGGCTGGTTGTGCAAACCTGTGATCCCACCGCTGAGAAGGCTGAGGCAGGAGGATGGTAAGTTTGAGGCTGGCTTAAGCTATGTAGTCAGACTTTGAATTAATAATAAAAAAATAAGTTGGGGGCCGGGCGGTGGTGGCGCACGCCTTTAATCCCGGCACTCGGGAGGCAGAGCCAGGCGGATCTCTGTGAGTTCGAGGCCAGCCTGGTCTCCAAATTGAGTTCCAGGAAAGGTGCAAAGCCACACAGAGAAACCCTGTCTCGAGGGAAAAAAAAAAAAAGTGGGGTATAGTGAGTAGTGAAGCCAGTACTGGGGAAGTGGAGGCAGGAGGGTCAGACGTGCAAGGTCAGCCCCAGCTACGTAAGTTCCAGGCCAGCCTGGGCTATGATAGTCTTTGCATAAACAAATAAACAAACAAGGCAGGCAGATCTCTGTGAGTTTGAGGCCAGCCTGGTCTACAGAGTGAGTTCCAGGACAACCAGGGCTACACAGAGAAACCCTGTCTCAAAAAAGAACCCCACCACCACCAAAAAAAAGGAAAGGAAAGGGGGAAAAAAGGAAGAAGGTCCTAGAGACAGGTGTAGCTCCATGGCAAAGTTCCTGCCTGGAAACCCCCAGTAAGGGTCGGTGAGGGGCTCAGTGGTAGAGCTCTTATCCAGGATGCCGAGGCCCTGGGTTCCATCCCCCAGAAGCAGAAGGGAAAAACAAAGTGCCCATTTCTTTTCCTGTGATCACACTGTCCTGTGCTTCCGCAAAGGGTAAAAACAACAGGGATCCCCAGCTGCTCATTACGTTTGCCCTTTGACCTTATCCTCCCGGAAAACACGGAAAAACCTCCAAGGGAGATAGCAAGGCACACTCCCCTTGTGTCTCCTGCCTCCAAGTGGACCTGCCCACCTGAGCAGGTGTCCCCCGAGCTATCCGTCCCCTCCCCTCTCCCCTCTCTCCCCGTGACCACCAAAGGGCATCGATCCATCAGGCCCTCCTGTCCATCAGTGCCCACAGGGCCGTTCCGTTGGGAAGCTCCTCCTGACTGTGGAGCCTAGCTGCGGTGCACAGCCCTAGGATGGGGGATCTATACCCTCCAGACCTCATCCCAAATAGAGGCTAACTTCCTCAATGGGACTTTTCCGGTCTCTGTGGCCCCCACGTCACCGGCCTGACCACAGAGACAGAGGCGGCTGTACCCATAGTGCCTGTAGGCTGACTGATGTTCTAAAGCTTGCCTGCCCTCCCCTCCCCACCCCTTCTGCCCTCTTTCAGTTTATTGATGGAACCTAGGACCTTGTGAACAATAGCCAAGGCTTTGCCACTGAGCTGCTTCCTGCTTCTTCTCTTCTCTTTCCTCCCTCACCCTTTCCCTTCCCCCTCTCTCCGTCCCTGTCACTTCTGTTCCATTGTGCAACACAGCCTAGGGACACACAGCCGAGGACCCTGTGCCCGCCAGTTAAGCACTCGCTACTGAGCAACAACCCAGTTTTCCTTTTATTTATTTTTTACCGTGTTGAGGTAGGATCTGGCTATGTGGCCCAGGCTAGCTTCAACCTTGTGATTCTGCTTCAGCCTTGGAGAACAGGCACATGCCTCCACGACTTGAAGCATTTCTCGACTACCGTCTTGTTCAAGCTATTGCACAAGAGCAGAGAGAGCTTTCTGAGGTGTGGGAGAAGAGCTTTGCAGAGTGTGTGTGCACGCGCGTGTGTGTGGCGTGCGCATGCATGCGTGTGTGTGCGCGTGCGCGCGTGCACGTGCGTGTCTTTTTTTGAGATAGGATCTCATGTAGCCCAGCTGGCCTCAACTCACCTTATACACCTAAAGCTGACCTTCACCTCGATTATCCTAACTCTATCTTCCAAGCATCGGGAACGCAGGCGTGTGCCACCATCCCTAGTTTCATGTGGTGCTGGAGATCGAACCCAGGGCTTCGTGCATCATAGGAAAGCACTCTACCATCTCCACCTCTGCTTTTTTTTTTTGCATGCCGGACAGGTGCTCTGTCACAGAGCCACGCCCCCAGCCCCTCCCTGGGGGATTCTAGGGGAACAGTGGATTACAGAGCTTCATTCACAGCAAGAACTCCACCCCGCTTTTTTTTTTGTTTCTGAGACAAGAGTTTCTCTGTGTAGCCCTGGCTGTCCTGGAACTCACTTTGTAGACCCAGGCTGGCCTCGAACTCTCAGTGAAATCCCGTCTTGAAAAAGAAAAGGAAACAAAAAGGGCTCAAGTTGCCCAGGCTGGCCTTCAACTCTCTCTGTAGCTTGCCTCAGCCCCCTGAGTTTATGGGGTGACAGGCCTGCTCCCCGAGAACTGGCAAGGGCTATGGAAGTAGCTCCTTCTGTTCCAGAATGTACAGGGAGGTTTCCAACCTGGGGCAATATGGTGTCTGGAGGGTTGGATGGTGTGGCTTGCACGGGGTTTTTCTACCTTTAGTGAGAAATCTCTGCCACCGTGCCAACTGGCTGTGTCAGGCTGTGTTGATTCTTATTTTTTGTGTCTGGGTGTTGTGCCTGCACGCCACATGTCTGCAGCACCACAGAGGAGAGAAGAGGGGATGGATCCCCCAGAAGTGGAGTTGCAGATGATTGTGAGCTGCCATGTGGGTGTTGGGAATCATGGGTCTTATGAAATAGAAGCCAGTACTCTTTTCTTTTTTTTCTTTTTCTCGAGACAGGGTTTCTCTGTGTAGCTTTGGAGACTGTCCTGGAACTCACTCTGTAGCCCAGGCTGGCCTCGAACTCACAGAGATCCTCCTGGCTCTGCCTCTCGAGTGCTGGGATTAAAGACGTGTGCCACCACCGCCCGGCTGCCAGGACTCTTTTCCGCTGAGCCATCTTTTCGGCCCCATGGGAGTCTTTTCTGGTCCTCGGTTCCCCTAACCCAGGAACAATGGTGTAAAACTTCCTTAGATTCCCCTATTTGCCTCCTCCGTCTCCTGCACCCCCTCACCCGAGGTCAAGCCAAAGCAACCCTAAGGCCTACTCCCTGCTTCCCGCCTCTCCGATCCCCCGACCCAGTCCCATCGTTTGATTCAAACAAGTTGTCCTGAGCTCTCCGTGACACCCAGGACTCTTCTCCAAGCTACAGCTCCGTGCTCGCTCAGAACCGCCGTGGCTCTTATTCTCAGTACAAAACCAGAGTGGAGAGTCATGGCCCAAATACCTACAGTCCCAGCCCTGAGGCAACTGGGCTGCTTCGAATTTGAGGCCAGCCTGGGCTACATATTGAGCCCTGACTCAAGGGGGAAGAAATGCTGTTGTCTACTTGGTAAACAGAGTCAGCAACCAGCACTCAGTAGGTGCTTAACAAGCACTGGTCAAAGATAGGTGTCTTGGCGTGCTCCTGTAATCCTAGCACTCGATGATGGGGGCAGGAGGATTTAGATTCCAAGCCAGCCTGGGCTACGTTTCTTAAAAGGAAGAAAGATGGGCTGGATTGATGGCTCACTGGCTGCTCTTCCAGGACCGGAGTTCAATTCCCAGCACCCACATGGCAGCCCACAACTGTCTGTAATTCCAGTTCCAGGGGATCTAACACCTTCACACCAACGCACATAAAATAAAGTTAAATTATTTTATTTATTTATTTTTTCCCCCCAGAGCTGAGGACCGAACCCAGGGCCTCAAGCGCTCTACCACTGAGTTAAATCCCCAACCCCTAAAGTTAAATTATTTAAAACAAACAAATAAATAAATAAATAAAAGGGAGGAGGAAAGGAAATGAAGGAAACTGGAGCTAAGTTGGTAGCGTGCTTGCCTAGTACACACAAAGTGCCGTTCTGTCCCCAGCACCAAATGAACTAGGTGTGACAGCCAAGTCCTTAGTCCCAGTGCTCGGAGGTGGAGGCGGAGGATCAAAATTTCCCGCTCATCCCTGGTCAAACAGACGTTAGGGACTGGAGCTGGCAAAAAACGGCTCAGCAGGGGACACACATATATGCACGCATGTACGCACCGAATTTAAAAAAATCAAAGTAAAGAAAGTTTGAGGCCAGCCTTAACAACATGAGTTCCCATTCTCAATATAACAAAAATACAAACCGACCAACCCCAACAGAACCAAATAAGACATCTGCAAACACATTAAGGACGGTCCACCTGAAAGCCAGACAGGGAGAAGCAGCCAAGGGAAGGGCGCTCACACTGTCCCCCCACTCACCTATGACTCTGAGCCAGGTCACCCCCCTGCGGGTGCCGTTGGGGAACGTGGCAAATTCGCAGGTATAATTGCCCTCGTCCTCCACCCTCAGTCCCCGGAAGGCCAGCGTGGCATCCCGCAGGTCTGCGTTTGTGTCCTCTTTCGCTCTGACAAAGGATAGACGGTCCTTGGTGAACTGAGGGTTGGGGAAGTCCACGCCGAAGGATGGGTGGAAGGCGGCCACGACCGCAGCATCCAGGCGCTGCCACGTCACCTGAGAGACGCGCTCCGACGTGGGTGGGAGCAGGTGGCACGGTAACTCCACGGTGCCTCCCAGGCGGCCCCGAACCTCTGGGAGCACTCGGACCCGCACATCTTGGGCTCCTGGGGAGAAAGGGAAGAGGTCAGTCACGTGGGGGAGGGAACAAGCCAGCGGTCTCCAGGACAGGCAGTGCCAAGGCAGAGGTGAGACAGGGTCTCAATATATAGCTCAAGCTGGCCTGGAACTCACTGAGATCTGCCTGCCTCTGCCTCCCAGTGCTAAGATTGAAATTGTGCACCACCACAGCTGACCCACCTTGTCTTTCTACTTTTACTTTTTTTTTTAGGTTTATTTTCAGTTTATGATGGGTGTTTTGCCTGCATGAATGTCTGTGCACCATGTGCATGCAGTGCCAGTAGAGGCCAGAAGGGGGCATCAGAGTCCATGGAACTGGGGTTAGAGGCGGTTCTGAGCCGCTGTGCGTGTGCTGAGAATCGAACCTGGATTCTTTGGATGAGCAGGCAATGCTCTTAACAGTTGAGCCATCTCTCCAACTACCCATCCTATTTGAGACAGGGTTTCGGACTGGCCTGCTGTTGGGCCCTGACCCCCATCCCTCGGGTAGCTGCTGCCTTGCTTGCTGACCTTCATCAGATGCCCTCCCTATGTTGACTTCCTGCCGGCTTCCTTGTTTTGTGTACCCCGCAGAGTTGAGAAAAAAAGCTGGGGCGTGAGATTGTGAAACTTTTGTAGCAAACTTTTGCCCTCCCAGGTTCTTCCACTCTCCTGTGAGCCTGTATTTAAGGCCTCTTCCCTCCTTCAATAAAACGGCATTCTCCTGAGAAGAATGACCCGCTGTCTTGTCTTCATTTATCCTCAGCCCCTCACTCGGACATGGTGAACAGGTTGTAGTGCGGGCGCTGCAGCCTGCAGCTCAGTGGTTCAGCTAGGCTGGCCAACAAATCCCAGCGAATCCCGTTTCAGCCTCCCCTGTGCTGGGATTCCAGATGTTCACTGTTACATCTATGTAGAGCTGCACATTATGTACGGCTTTTAACATAAAAGTGCTGAGGATCATACCCTGGTCTTCATACTAACATAGAAAGTATTCCGTCCATCGACCTGTCTCCCCAGCTCTGTTCTCTGCCTACCTTTACAGCACTAGAGGGTAGACGTAGGGCCTCACACGTGCAAGGTAAGCGTTTTTACCCCCAGCTACCGTCTTTCTCCCTGACGGCTTCACACAGTCTGCAATGTAGTTTGGTCAGTCACCCTCATGACTTCTCATCCTCTGTGGCTCCTGCTGAACACTTTTCTTGCCAGCGAGTCTCCCTCTGACTTTCACGAGCTTTGTTTTCTGACCCACGGAGTCTAATTTCCAGTGCTTTGCACGAGCGCGGCTGTGGGGCTTTCTACTGGAATATGAGAAATGGGCCTGAGGCTAGACCACTCAAGAAAATGCCCCCCTCCTTCAGCAACCATTAACTGCCAATATCTCATCTCCTTGAGGATGGGGTCTTACCAGACCCTTCTCCTGTCTCCCCACTTTATTTATTTATTTTTGTTCTTTTTGAGAACATAGACCTGGCTGTCCTTGAACTCACAGAGATCCACCTGCATCTGCCTCCAGAAATCCTGAGATTAAAGGTGTGCACCACTGTGCCTGGCTTTATTTTTACTTAAACATTTTTTTTTTTAAAGATTTATTTATTATGTATACAGCATGTTTGCCTGCAGGCCAGAAGAGGGTGCCAGATCTCATTACAGATGGTTGTGAGCCACCATGTGGTTGCTGGGAATTGAACTCAGGACCTCTGGAAGAGCAGTCAGCGCTCTCAACCGCTGAGCCATCTCTCCAGCCCCTACTTAAACATTTTTTAAAAATTATTTAATGTTGTGGTGGTGGTGCATGCCTTTAATCCCAGCACTCCAGCACTCTGTGACTTTCAGGCCAGCCTGGTCTACAGAGTGAGTTCCAAGACAGCCATGGCCATATAGAGAAACTGTGTCTCTCGAAAAACAAAACAAACAAATTATTTGATGTGTATGGGTGTTTTGCCTGCATGTATATCTGTGCACATGTGTGTGTGCCTGGTGCCTTTGGAGGCCAGAAGAGGATCCCTCGGAACTAGGGTTACTGTGAACTACCATGTGGATGTTTAGACTCGAACTCAGGTCCTCTGGAAGAGCAGCCGGTGCTCTTCACCACCAAGCCAACTCTCCAGCCCCTATCTGCTCACATTTTTTTTTTTTTTTTTGGTTTTTCAAGACAGGGTTTCTCTGTGTAGTTTTGCGCCTTTCCTGGGACTCACTTGGTAGCCCAGGCTGGCCTCGAACTCACAGAGATCCGCCTGGCTCTGCCTCCCGAGTGCTGGGATTAAAGGCGTGCGTCACCACCGCCCGGCTATCTGCTTACATTTTAAAAATATTTTTTATTTCATGTTTATGTGTCATGTGTTTGCATCTATATATGGTGTGTGTGCAGGTACCTATGGAGGCCTGAAGGGGGAGGCAGATCCCTCGGAATCAGAGTTACAGGACGTTGTACTAGAAACGGACCAAGTCCTCTGCATTAACCGTTGAGCCATCTTGCCCGCACCTGTCTCCCCATTTGGAACAAATACAGAAACAAGGAAGCCTGTGTCTCAGCTCTGGGAGGAAGTACTCCACGATGACCCAGGGCACAATAATGTGTAGGTTTAAATCCAGGCTCTTAACATCTGTACCTCAGTTTCCCAGCTGCGTAATGAGGACATAATGACAGTGTCGCACCCTCCAGAAGTGTTATGAGGACTAAGGAATGCTTGAAGAGCACTTTAGCATAGGTCCACAGGAAACTTGAACTTGGTAAACAAACAAAGAGGCCGGATAATTACAAGTGGCCACTGACAGTGAGCCCCGGGGCGAGGGACGCAATGACACAGCACTTGACTTGTGTCATGGGCAACTGCTCACAACCCTCTGTAGAGAGAGCCGGGCAGAGCTGCCCTCCTGTACAGTGGTGAGTGTGTACAGTCCCGGCCTCCTCACACACAAGAACTGAGGGCAACTGTGGTGTGGTAGCAAAGGCACAGCACAGGGGAAGGGGAGGGAGATGGATCTCTGTGACCAGCCTGGGCCACACAGTGAGTGTGTGTGTGTGTGTGTGTGTGTGTGTGTGTGTGTGTGTGTGTGTGTGAGAGGGACTGGAGATAGCTCAGAGGTCAAGAGCACCTGTTGCTCTTGCAGAGGACCTGGGTTGGGTTCCCAGCACCCACATGGTGGCTCACAAGCACCCATAGCTCAGTTCTTCCTCGGGCACCTTGCGCATATAGTGCACAGACAGGAAGGTAGGCACAACACCAAAACACTTAAAATCATCTTTAAAAAAGAATCCAGGGGGCCCTGATGAGGGAATCTGGCAGAACACCATACTGTGGACAGACAGTGCCAGGGAAGATGGACAAGTGGCAACCAGTGACGGCTTAAAGAGCCACAGCATCTCCAAAATGCCTCACCACTCAAACCCAGACCATCTTGACCAAAAGGGCTTCATCCTCTGCAGCAGAGCAGATCAATGTGGGCTGGGGAGAGGACAGCTCAGGAGAGCCCCTGCCTAGAATCCCTCAGTGAGGGGCTGGGGTGTGGCTCAGTGGTAGAGCCCCTGCCTAGAATCCCCCAGTGAGGGGCTGGGGTGTGGCTCAGTGGTAGAGCCCCTGCCTAGAATCCCCCAGTGAGGGGCTGGGGGTGTGGCTCAGTGGTAGAGCCCCTGCCTAGAATCCTCCAGTGAGGGGCTGGGGTGTGGCTCAGGAGTGAGGGCACCTGCATACCATATGGGAAGCCCTGGGTTCCAGCCCTATCACAGAGGGGAGGCAGGAGCGGGAGTACTCTTTAGAAGAACTGATACACAGATAGATGTGAGCTTCCTGCTGGTTGCTGCTTCCGGGCTGGATGACCTTTTCAAGCCCCAGTTCTTCCATGTGTAAAATGGAGACATTTAGTCCACCCTACAGGGTCCCCTGGGACAATTCCAGTAAAAGATCTGACACTCTTTGCAGGCCAGGTCACAGGGTCAGTGCCTGTCCCCACAGCCACATCTGGCAGGGTTTGCATGTGCCTCAGCCCAGGCACAGGTTTTACTTTGCTTATTTAGACAGCTCTGGTTGGCCTGGAATTCACATCAATCCTCCTGCCTCACCCTCCTGAGCACTGGGATTACACATCATTGCAAATGTGAATTAGAGCAAGCAGTACGTGGAGCTAGACAGAAAGCACATTAAAGACAGCAAAACGGGCTTGAAAGGGGTCAGCGAGGGGCTGGTGAGATGGCTCAGTGGGTAAAGGTGATTGCTGCCAAGACTGAAGACCTGAGTTCGATCCCTGAGACCCACATAGTGGATGAAGAGAACATACACATGTATTGTGGTCCCCCCCCCCCCCCCACACACACCAAATAAATGCTAAAAGTTGGGGAACCAGGCTCAGTGGCCTTCAGTTGTAATTCCAGCACGAAGGAGTCAGAGGCACGAGGATTATGAATTTGAGGCCAGTGAGTTCCAAGTTAACCTGTGTTACACAGGGAGACCCCGTCTCAAATCAATAATAAACGAAAAATACAAATAATAAAAACCTTACTGCCTCAAGACCTCCAGACTAAGCGTCTAATTCTAAATAAAGGAACAGGCCGGGCGATGGGGGCGCACGCCTTAGTCCCAGCATTCGGGAGGCAGAGGCAGAAGAATCTCTGTGACTTTGAGGCCAGCCTGGTCTACAGAGTGAGTTCCGGGACAGCCAGGGCTGTGACGTCCCCAGCTGTGTCTCCCCGCCGCGGCTAGAGAGATCATGGTAGCTGGTACCCCATCTTTGCTGCTTGGAGCCTCAGTGGCTCCTTTCTCCCTCGGAACGCTGCGTGGATCACACCCATCCCATCTCGGGGCTCCTCTCTCTATCGCCCCTGTCTGGTGCTCTGGCCCAGACAAGTCCTACCTCAGGGCCTTGCGGTCTTCCTTGTTCAGCAGGTCAACATGCTTCCTCCTTAGTGAGATAAGCTCGGCTCACCGAACTGATAACAAGGATTCTTCTTAACTTGTTCCCTCATCCCAACAAGGCACCAACCACCTATTTCCCTAGCGGAGCCATGAGG